TTAAAAAGTTCCCTTGGGATCAATATCTGTGGAAGGAGAGAAAGAAGCTGAGCTGTAATACAGGCCTGTGACAACCTCAGCCAACCCCACAGGGAGCCCTGAAGCTAGAATAGCCCTTAAGAGTTGTCCCCAAATGAGCTGAGATGGCCAGGCATTTATACACCTGTCGTCATTGGATGTGGGCTGTGCTGGAAAGCAGCATAAACTTGGGCAAGGTGATCTCTGCAGCTGAGGCAATTACTGAAGGGATTTACTAAGAAAGGCTGTTTGCAGATAGTGCTCCCAGCAGCTGAGCCAGCAAGGCCATCGAAGGAGCTACCCCCACACCACAGATACTCATCAAATATGTGTTAAATGAACAGCAGGTTTAGATCATGCCTCAGGTTCCAGGCTCAGTGGGACAGTCCACAACTCTGTTATTTGGACTGTTATACACTGATACTTGGAAATGGTTAGGGGAGCCTTAAAGCTTAGATTCATGGATTCATTCATTCAACAAGCATTCATTGAGATTTACTATGTGCAGGCCTTGAGGCAGACACTTTACAAATGTTTTTTATTTAATCCTCACAACTGTGGAGCTAGTATTAACTCAGATTATTCAGATGAGATCAAGTTATTAAGTAGCTTTCACAGTCCAATGACACTAAAAAATGACACTCACAATGGGACAAGTACTATTACTGCTGCCAAATATTCTTCAGGCCAGAAAGGGTCTGTGTGTGTGTGTGTGTGTGTTGGGATGGCTCATTCTCTCCTCTCAGCCAGATATTCCTCAGGCCAGAAAGGGTCTGTGTGTGTGTGTTGGGATGGCTCATTCTCTCCTCTCAGCCAGAACACCTCTATTGCAGCCAAGAGTTGTGCCTCCATAGCCTTCTGCTTCAATTCCTTCCTAATAATGTTGCTCCTCCGAGGTAACAGACCCACATGCAGCCTTTAAAAATTCCTGGTTGTAGCTACAGAATAAGCCACTGTTACCCAGGAGTCTGGGCTAGCTCCTTCCCTGGATATTCAATGGATAGACAACCCTTAATCCCCAGTGATCCGTAGCCATCTGATCATCAGAAAGTATGAGAGGGTTCTTCCTTAATGTCTAACTTCCATAGCTGCTGCAATTGTTTTGGGATACTAACACAGAAGGGACTAGAGGTAGAGGTTTCTGTCGCAGAAACCTCTATGTACCCTGTACCTTTCAATAACCTACCCATTCTGTGGAAAGGGGCAAGGGCTGCAGAGACAGAGAAAGTTGTCAGCAGCTGTTCTAGTATAACCCTGACACATTCTCATCCTTGGTCAATTAAAACTTTCAGCACACCTGGTCACCAACATGAAGATTTTAATTTTCTCATTTTGATTCCAATCATAAAGTACTTGAAGCAAAAAGACGGAGGGGGGAATGTTTCAATGTCATGGAATAATTTCTCAGTCTAACTACAGAGACATTCACTTCACTCAACATTCCTCACCCCCTCCCAACCACACACACATGCACGCACACATGCACGCCTTCCCTCCTGGGCCCCCAGAACCTAATTTTTCATGTTCGGAAAATCCAGATGATTTTTGCCTGGGTCCATCTGGTTTTCCAAATAACCTGTCTTTTTGATAAATAACGTAAGTTAAATTAGACAAGACAAACAAAGAGAGGGGTGGGCAGTCAGTTTTTTTCCTTCCCTTGGCCTCTGAGAAAAAGAGAGATGGGGGCTGAGAAACCCAAACTGCGACTCACTCCCAACCCTACCCCAGCACTTTCTACTCATTGGATGGGGCCCAGTGATCCTCCAGCCTGGAGCTGGGAGCTGCCTCTTCACCCTCACCTCCAGTCCACCAGCCACCAAGAATACCATAGACTGTGATTCCCTCTAAAATGAAGGGAAGAACCCAGGCATCCAGCCCCATAGCCTTAGGCTGTAGCTAGTTCAAACCCCCTTTTACCATTATGTATCCCACCACAGGGAAGAACTAAATCAATAAACTGAAAATGAAAACCTTTAAGGTGAGAGAAGACAGAAAGAGGGAATGGGAAGGACATGATAGCACAGACCAAAATAATACAACTACTAAAGACAGATCTCTGGCATCGGGGTCTCAAAAGGTAAAGTCTGGGGTGACACCAGCCTTACACAAGCCATGCCTGTTTTTCCATTTCAGTACAAGAGTCCAAGCACACACGTAGGCCTCCATTCCTCCCACTGTCACAAGTCCCAGCACAAAGCTAGCCACTGCTTAATGCTGGATTAGGCCCATGTGCTGGTGCACTGTAGAGCTTTGCTGAGGCTTGGCCTCTCCTTCCCACTAAGCCAGAGAATGAAGCATCGGCTCCACCCCTTCCTCAGCAGTGAGTTAGCCTGCATTAGTGCAGATTCTTAAATATGCACAATCACTTCACAGTAACTTGTACCTTTGATCTTAACCATAACCCTGTGCACTAAACCAAGTCATTTCACACAATCTTCATTTTCCAGCTAAGGAAAAAAGTTCATGCCACTTGTAAGTTGCAGAGAGCAAGGACTCAAGGTCTCATATAGCTGAAAGTTTTTAAGTAGGGGAGTGGCATACTACAAATTATGTTTATACAAAGCTCACCCTCTGGCTGCAGTGCACAGGATGGAAGAGAAGCAAAAACAGAAGTGGGGAGATCAGGAGGCTACTGCAGTAACCTGGAAAGAAACTATGGAATCTTGGAGCAGGGAATTGACTAGAGAGCTGGAAGAAGTGAGCTGATTCAAGATGCAATCTGGAAGTAGAAATAACAGGAATTGGAGATTGTATGATAATGGGAGTGAGGAAGGAGTTTTTAAGAATGCCCTTCAGCTTTCTAGCCTGAGTGACTGGGTGTGTGGAGATACCTTTTACTAAAATGGGAAACACAGGAGGAACAGATTTCTAGGGAAGGAAGATCACATTTTTAAAGATGTTCAGTTTGGGATGTTTGTGAGACGATGGGCTTTTAAGGAGTGGTCCACACAATATGATGCGATTGTGATATTGGCAATTTCTTATACTTGTAGAGTAGCACTAGACATAAGGCATTCACATATATTTTTTTTTTTTGGTCTTTTTTCCGTGTCCGGCAACGGATCGCAACCCTCAGTGTTGCCCCCGTACCGGACCGGGGACCGGCAACGGGATCGCAAGCCTCGGTGTTGCTCCCGCGCCTCGCTCAGCCAGTGAGCGGGAACCGGTCTGTATATGGGATCCGAACCCTCGGACGGGAGCGCCGCCGCGCTTCCCAAGCGGCGCACTATCCAGTGCGCCACCGGGCCGGCCCTATACATTTTTGAACTTAAGCCTCACAGCAACTCTAAGACAGGCATGAATTAGTGTCCTTATTTTATAGATAAAAAGAAGCTCTGAAAGGTGTGGTATTATTTATTCAAACTTTACTAGCACCACTACATTCTAGGCTGTGTGCCAGACCATGGGTAGGATTTAAAGGTAGAAGATACAATGCATTCTCAAGGACAATATAATCAGATAGTAACATGACAATATCACACCAGAAATATTCTCCCCTATCCTTAGGTGCATAAGTCCCAGTACAGGAAGCCCCAAGACTCACTAGATATATCTCCAGGAGATACAAACCAAAAATGCCTACTAAAACGTCTTCCAGTCTGACCATTAGAAATTCTAATTTCTTTCTTTCTTTTTTTAAAGATGACCAGTAAGGTCTTAACCCCTGACTTGGTGTTGTCAGCACCACGGTCTCCCAAGTGAGCCACGGGCTGGCCCCTACAAATTCTAATTTCTAATGGGGAGAAGTTTGTAGAGAAACAGTTGAGGAAAAGAAAGATCCCACAGAAATCCGCGTACCCTTACTTCTAGAGCTTTAGTGAATATAACCTTAAGTGCGTTATGGAAGAGACCCTAGTGTGGCTTGTGTAACTATGGACTGAATTGATGATATGAGACTAAAGACCTGTTTAAATGACGTCAATACCATGTGTTCCTTCTCAGTGTCTGGAACAAGAAGGAACCAAAAGGACTAACACTGAGCACACTCTATCTCACAGACTTGGGCTCTCATGCCTCCAAATATGTAATTTCCAAACTAGCAGAGCTGAGTCCTACTAGGAGCCCTAGTCAGGCCCTAGGGCTCCAATTTCATTAAAACATAGCTGATGCTGATAGCTGAATGTGTTTAGGGCAAAGGGCATGCAGATCAGGTTGAAATTCTCTTTTTTTCTTTTTTTTAAAGATGACCGGTAAGGGGATCTTAACCCTTGACTTGGTGTCAGTACCATGCTCAACCAGTGAGCTAACCGGCCATCCCTATATGGGATCCGAACCTGTGGCCTTGATGTTATCAGCACTACACTCTCCAGAGTGAGCTACGGGCCGGCCCCGAAATTCTCCCTTTCAATCCTTTTACCAAGGTCAAAGCTTAGCTTGCCATATGGCAGCTATAATGGCATGAGGAATAATGACCCAGAGTTTAAGACTCAACTATTTCTTTCTCCAGAGTGCTTTCTCCCTGGAGCCTCAGATGGAAACCATTTGCTCCCCAAATTTCTTAGGCATTGATTTTATAATCCTCAGTGATCAATTCCAATTCACTTCTCCATCTCTCCCCCAAAAAAGGCATGTGGGGAAATAAGAAGAGAGAAATATCCAGGCCTCCTTCTCAATTATTTCTCATTTGCCCAGCAAGGGCTGCATAGCCTTGGGCACTGTTTAGAGACCTCAAAGAGAGGCCATAACCCTCACCTTGGACCCAGGTACACTATAATGAAGTACATGCAAAGTCAGCCAGTCAAAGAGCTGTAACAACAGGCACTATTTAGGTAAACTCTCCTCCTCACCTGCATCAAACCCAAACCACCTGGTAAGTTAATTTGATCAGTTCACTGGGGCTGAGAAGCCACTGACGGGACAACTGCAGTAGTCCCACTCTAGACCCAGAGTGCTTCCCGGGGAGGAAGATATGCTGAAAATGAAATGCTCCTCAACACTAGACAGGCATTGACCTACGAATGAGCTGGATAGCAAATCCTGCCTTCAAGGTATTGAGATTTATTGAAAAACTACATACATATTAAAACATCTTTATATACATTTTCCTCATTACAAGATTACAAATATACAAATATGAGTTCTGTCAAAGTCAGCATCTTGAGTATTAGAAAAAACTATAGAAAACCTACACCCTAATTTCATCAATTAAATTGGTTTTTCCCATCTCCCCCCAAAAAACGGGCACAATCTCCTCCAACATCCCAGTCCAGCTCCTGACACTGAAACCACAGTATTCACTTGAAATGTTTTTCCAAAGCAGCAATGATGCTCAGTTAAGGGGGAAAAAAAACCTATCTAAAATTCTGAGAGCCTCACAGTAGTTCAAGGAAAACAGAGTGATGGCAATTCTCTTCAACAATATTTTTATTAAACTCCATGGTGGTCTTCTCTTGAAATTAGTAATGAAATACTAAAACATCAGGGTATGTACTCAACCCAGGAGATTGTAATAAATAATGGTTATATTTCTTGTCAGACTGAAGGGAGGTCCTTGAGCAATAGTGTTTCAAACTGAGAATTTAGTCCTAGGAAAGATTTCTCTGTCCCCTAGAATATCTAATGTGGACAGCTCTGGATATAACCCTCTGTCTTCATCCCCATAATCCAGAAAATTAGGGTCAAGGTCTTTCTGACTTGGGTACCAGTTTAAGTCCCTATCATAAAGGCAGCAAAGGTTAATTTGAAATTTGAGGCTGCCTTGGGAAGAAGTATACAGGAAAATGGAAGGGGCAAGATTAATATAACAGCCCATCTGTTGTTTTCTTGGTCCTCTAAGAAGTCTTGCGTTGAGTCCTGGTCACCATGGTACAGATCTTACCAGTATGAAGGAGTTATTCTGGTGCTGACTTTCACTGCTTTCTGTGATTTCTTGTAATGCCACACTTTTTCCACCTCTTCCAACCACCCCTATTACAAAGAGGTATTAACCCAGGAAGCTGCTAGGATTAAATGTCAAATGTTTAATAGAGGAAGTGAGACTTCACCCAAGTATTCCTTGAGTCGATGTTGTAAACACTGTAGAATTAAGTAGTGGCCAACCCAAGAAAAAATACTAGAAAAAGAAAGAGATGTCTAGGGTGCGTAGTAGAAAACACTGGAATCACTGTCCACAGTCTTAATGCACTGATTATAAAGGAAGGTGGGATCACCAGTGTGAGCATCTATTCCAACCTTCAATGCCAGGAACTTCTCAAAGCAGTCACAGCATAGATGCTGGCACCCTTGATGGTGTTAACTTTCCAAGTATCTGAAGATGCTTTGCTTCAATCCTGAAGTGCTATCATCTGTTTTGAGGTGCTTAGGTAAAGGGGATGTCATTAAAGATGGACCCCTTCTCTTCACCTAGAGAGCAGAGAGGGAGTCAGGGCCAGTTTAAGACCCTCATACAAGTACTTACCTTTAATCAGCTCTTAAATAACTCATAGTTAAATCATGGACCATTAACAACAGAAAAATAAAGAAATACAAGCTTTCCAGATAAGTTCAAAAGCTGCTTACCTACTGGGGTAACAAGTCCCTTATGCCTTATTAGGCAGTGTGGGATGTTAACACTGCAGCATAAACTGTTAAACCAGAATTTGTTTTTTAATTATAATAAATAAATAAATTCTGGTTTGGGGAGCCACTATATCGTTCTCAAATTCCCTACCTGAGGCTTAGATGATTCCTTTGCCACCTCAGCCTTCACAGGAGAAAGTGTGTGAAAGACAAAGTTCCTTGAATTTCGGGGAGCGCTGGGATTGAGGTCAGAGAGGGCAGCCAGTTTCTGAAGCACAGCTTTGGGCTGGTTTAACAGTGAGCCTGTCTTCAACTGGGGAAAGAAGAGTCATCTAGTATCAAATCCCAAGTGCTAGAGAAAGAATGAAAGTCAATCACTCCCTGCCTCCCCCAAGGTGCTGAGGGAATGTATTCCTTGTAGAAAAGAAATAGCAAGGTTTTTTGACATCTACTTCCATTTTCTGCAGACACCTCCCTTCCTAATGACAGAGACTATTCTCTTAGCTTGATATAACCTGCAGACCATGATGTCAGGCTAACAAGGTCCCCAACCAACCTGGTGAGCACTTCCCGGTCTGATGGCTTCAAAAGGGTTTGTAAGTAAAGACTTTGACTCTTGAATAACCACAGGGCGATTGGCTGAAAAGAGAAGACAGAGAGGCCTGTTCTGGGCAAAGGTGGGTAGAATTACTCTTATATCTAAACAAGCTAAGAAGACTTGTAACTAAACCACTAAGCTAAAGCCATAGGAACTCATTATTTTATAACGGTGATTTGAAACTATAGTAAATACTCCAAGAAGGCAGACAACTATGTTGAATTTCTCAATTAATCATTAATAGTAATAATTTAAGAAAAAATAGGAGTGGTAAGTATGTGGAGTAGTGTTTAAGAGCTTCATTTCTGGGGTTAAATATACTTGGGTTCAAATCCCAGCTTTAACACTTAGGTACGTAATCCCGGGCAACTAAATAGAGAAAGTAGAATTCACTACTCTGAGCCTGAGATCATAAAGCAAAATCAGCTACATATACTCACAAATACAACCTCTACTGCCCAATAGTCCAAGTACACTGTCTCTCCCCACCTCTGTGGGGCCTCTTTAAGACAGTGTTAGATACAAGCTTGTTACTAAGCTGCAACAGCCCCTGAAGGTTAGAGTCACCTCCAAGGCTCCAGCATTAACAATCCAGGGGGCTAGATCCTGAGGAGCAATAAGAGCTCACCACTCTTCTGCAGTGCTTTAGCTGTCACTTTCTTGGCTAGCATCATAAACTGACTGTCTTCCCCAATTTCTTCTTCTTCAGCTATAATTTTCCCTTGCTGTGCCTGAAAATAAAAATCATACAGCATTAATGGAAAAGCCTATAACTTCTCTAAATAGTTGTGGAGTTAGCATAGCCTGGGTTGTGAAGTTAGGGTACCTGGCATATCATTTGTTCTCTTTTTTGCAACCTTTGCTGCTTTAGACAAAAGAATTTATTTTGAACAAATACAAAGAGAGTTGCCCACGTTAACCTTCTCAAAGCACAAAAGAAAATTCAGGGATGAAAACGGACAGCAATATGTTGACTAAGATTTTGAAACTATTATGACAAGATAAATGACTGGGTCCTCTTGTCCTCATAAACTAGGGTCAGAGTAGGCGATTTTCTTATAGACTTCCTACCTGGTCCCGAAGCCATTGCTCTCGTTCAATTCGCTCCTTCCTCCATCTGGCTTCTGTCTCATCAAGTTGTTCTTCGATTTGATCATCGTCAGAGTCTCTGTGGAACAAGTCCATCTGGGAAGCGTCATCTAAAACAAAGTTAAGGCTAGCAGCATTCTGCAATCCCCACAGGAGAGGGTGATTCTACAGATATAAAATAAACCCTTATCATTTACTATATATTGACAAACTTTTCCCACCCTCTCATAGAAAATAATAGTTACAGCCTGGTCCTCCACATAGCCTGTTATAGTTTTGATTTTCATTTGCCATCTTAAACCAAATATGTACACTGTAACCATATGCTTCTAAAGGCAGCAACCAAGATACCTATGTTTTTCCACCGGAATTTCCTTATTCGCCCAGGACCATCGCTGTGCAGATCCCCATCAGCAAGGTATCTCTCCTGGTATAGACGCAGCTGCCTCTTATCATCATCCAACACGGTTTTCCTACAACAGAAGAAATAAGGTGTTCAAAACCAGGACTGTTCTGTCTGATTATAGGGTCTGCCTTAAGATAGACCCTATAACTGAGAAGGGCTTGTTGGGATACTGACATGTGTATTTTCTTGACTTGACTCTGTAGTTCCTCATCAGAAGGAAGCACTTCATCAATTACATCCTCTTCATATTCATCAAGCTCTTCCCCATCATATTCGTCCTCACTTCCCACGTCACTCCCTGACACCTCTGCCTCATCCTCCAGGTATTTCTTCAATCTCCTGGAAAGTAATTTTGAAGATAAGAAAATGTAACAATGAATATACACACAGAATATGAAAGCAATAAGAAAAGCGAACACAGAGCCACCTCTAATAACAATAATATGCTCAAATTTATAATAATACATTTTTATAATATTTAAAATATTTTTCATAATATTTAAAAGTTGATCACTTAATACATACCATGTACCAATAACCGTGCTTTACAGGCATTACCACATTATCTTAAGAGTGGGTATTATTATTGCTTTCATTTTACAGTTGAGGGAACTGAGGCTCAGAGAGATTAAACAACTTACCCAAGGTTTACACAGCTAGGAGGCAGCAGAGTCTGGATTCGACCTAGGCTGGATGACTCTAAAGCCAGAAAACTCCTAAATCTCCTCTACATATTTGGGAATACCTGCCAGAAGGCTCAGACTATTTTGTTTTGCATTTTAGTACAACACCTTTAGGAGTCAGACTAGAGATAGTATGGTATAGAAAGGTAATTGACTGGGATTTTCTTACAGCCTATCAAATCTTAACCCCCAAGTTAAAGGGAACACTGAGGCTCAGAGCTCCTGGTAATCAAAACCACTAATCATTATTTTTTCTGACTTTAGCTTGCTGAGAGAACTTATCTTCTGTCATCTTGGTTTCAAAGTCCTGTTATCTGTGGCCACAACAGGCAGAAATTTGGTGGCTTTTTGAAGGCTGATTTTTATCAAAGACTTATGTTTCATTCTTTTAAAGCTGAGTTCTTCTAAATCCTATGGTTCCTGGCAAATTCCTTCAGGAGATACTAGTCACTAAGTTTCCCAGTCTTCCCATGCACCGTCTTTGAGCAGTTCGACTTTTAGCTGACATCCTTTATAAGACCTCATTTGAACAATGAGCACTGCAGTTAAATACGGTCTAAGAACCACTGCCTTAGAAAAATCTATGGATGACCTAAAGCTGTATGAAACAGTTAATTTGACAGATGAAAACTTAGAGCCCAAAACAGATCTTAACAGAAGGAAACGATGGGCTAAAAGCAACAATATAAATCTAATAGGGATCAGTATGATGTCCTATATATGAGTTCCAAAAGTCATTCACATACAAGAATACTTCAAAAAGTTCATAGTAAAATAGAATTAAAAGATAATACGGGGGGCCGGCCCGGTGGCACACTGCTACAGTGCGCCGCTTGGGAGTGTGGCGGTGCTCCCGCCAAGGGTTCGGATCCCACATACAGACTGGTTCCCGCTCACTGGCTGAGCGAGGTGTGGGCGCAACGCCGAGGGTTGCGATCCCGTTGCTGGTCCCGGTCCGGTACAGGCGCAACACTGAGGGTTGCGATCCGATCCGTTGCCGGACACGAAAAAAGGAAAAAAAAAAAAAAAAAAAGATAATACGGGGCTGGCTCCGTGGCACACTCGGGAGAGTGCAGTGCTGGGAGCGCAGCGACGCTCCCGCTGCGGGTTCGGATCCTATATAGGACTGGCCGGTGCGCTCACTGGCTGGGCGCGGTGTGGGCAACACCACACCAAGGGTTGAGATCCCCTTACTGGTCACGAAAAAGACAAAAAAAAAAAAAAAAAAAAAAAAGAATGAGAAAGATTGTTGTCACATGGGCTGGAATACGTGTTAAAAAAATGCTTATGGATAAGTATGGGAAAAAAGCAAGATGCAAAATTATACGTAAAAAAAATTATACAGGGCCGGCCTGTGGCTCACTTGGGAGAGTGCGGTGCTGATAACACCAAGGCCATGGGTGTGCTGATAACACCAAGGCCATGGGTTCGAATCCTATGTAGGGATGGCCGGTTGGCTCACTGGCTGAGTGTGGTGCTGACAACACCAAGCCAAGGGGTGAGATCCCCTTACCAGTCATCTTTAAAAAAAAAAAAAAAATTATACAAATCTCAACTATATAAAAATATATGCATAAAAAAAAGATGAAGAGGAAGTAACCACCATCAACACTTTCACATATATTCAGGATGATGGACATACACAACTTTTTATTTATATCTTTCTGTATTCTTTTAAATATTCTAAATGTTTTATTTTCATGATCAGAACAATAAAACATTAAAAAAATAAAGTGGGTCATTTGCCCAAGACCAGGTTGAAGAAAACCTGAAATGACATCAATTCATAAGAAAAAAGACCCAGAAAATTTTAGTTATCTATTAGATCCTCAGGACCCAGGGAATTTTAGTTATCCACTAGTTCTTCAAGATCTAGACTGTGACTCAGCTCTTATGATCTTTGGTTATGCTACAAGAATATGCATCCAGTACAAGGGAGTATTCAGACCACACTTGAGGATAAAGAGAATATCCAGGATGTGAGGAGACCAGAAGCAATGTTACTAGAAACATCACTAGTTCTGGAGGGAATTACAGACAGTTAGTATAGAAATCTCTTAAGAAAAACATAACCATCTTTGAATACTTCGGACGTATCACATGGGAGAAGGATTTTGTTTAATCTGTGTTAACCACAAAAAGCAGAAATAGAGCCAGCAAATTTAGGTAAAAAGGTGGTAAGCTACAATTCAACTTTAAGAGGAACTTTCTAGCAGTTGAAGGAATGGACATAACACCTACATTTGCCTTTTCAACCTTTCGGACTGCTTCAGGAGTTTTTCTTCATCATCATCTTCATGGTCTTCTAGTGCCAGATCTTCATTACCAGAGTCACTATGTTCATTCTGCAAAATCATAGTACCACACCAATAAATAAATGCATAATAAACAATTTATTATTATTATCTTTTAAGACTCTCAAGAACTCAGACAAGAAAAAATACCTGAGGGCAGCAATACACACAGTTTAGTTATGATTACTTTGTTCCTTTCATACTCACCTCATCACCATCAAACTCCTTATCGTTTGGGACAAGCTGAAAGTCTCCAAATTCCTCCTCTTCACTTTCTTCTTCCCTAAAATGCAAATCAACTAATCAATAAATAAGTCATAAGTCAGCCAAAGTGAGAATTTAAAATATTTTATTACCACTAATAACCTCTTCAAGGAAAAGGAAACAAAGTATCTTGCCTTTTCAGCACCGCACTCTACCGAGTGAGCCACGGGCCGGCCCAATATCTTGCCTTTTAAAAAGTTTTTTTAAGGGCCGGCCCATGGCTTGCTCGGGAGAGTGCGGTGCTGATAACACCAAGGCCCCGGGTTCGGATCCCATATAGGGATGGCTGGTTCGCTCATTGGCTGAGCGTGGTGCTGACAACACCAAGTCAAGGGTTAGGATCCCCTTACCGGTCATCTTTTTTAAAAAATAAATAAATAGGGCCGGCCCGGTGGCGCACTGCTACAGTGCGCCGCACTGCTACAGTGCGCCGCTTGGGAGCGCGGCGGCGCTCCCGCTGAGGGTTCGGATCCCATATACAGACCGGTTCCCGCTCACTGGCTGAGCGTGGTGCGGGCGCAACACCGAGGGTTGTGATCCCGTTGCCAGTCCCCGGTACGGGCGCCGACACCGAGGGTTGCG